GGGGCGGCCGTCCTCGTTAGGGGCTGCTCCTCCTCATCAGGTTCGCGGTGATTTAGGAGACTCTCGACCTTGGTCTGGTGAGGAGGCTGAACAGGCGGTCACAGCTTGTTAACTTGACAAGATCTGTTTCACCATAACTTCTTCGTGAGCCCCAAAGCGTGGTGGGTGTGCTGCTCAGAGCGCGGCTTCTCTGACTTTCAGAAGGGCCTTTGGCTCCTACAGCGAGGCCTTTGACTGGGGAAATAGGATGTGCCGGGGTGACATCTCACCGTGTCCGATGAGAGATAAAATCCTGGCTGGTGGTGAGGAGCAGGGATGTTACAGGCGGGGAGCTGGCACGGAGCAGCTGTTTTCCAGAGCGCTGCTGCAGGGACCTGGTAGGCCCAGCTTTAGAAATGGCTGTGGGTTGTCGTGGTTTGAGAAATAAGAGCAGGAGCAGAGAAGTTTGGAAGCAGTCACGCTCTGTGGCCTGGAGGAAGCCGAAACACCTTTGACGGTGACACATGTAGCTGCTTGGGAGCGACCCGGCTTGCCCTCTGCCTTGGGTGTGCCAAGGTCCGAGTAGAGGGAGAGGTGCGGCTGGGCGTCTGCAAAGCAAGGGTAGTGGTAGCTGTGCAGGGTGGGAAGTCTCCCTCCCAGGCTGGTCGCTTGTAGAGCTCTCCCCTCCTGCGGTAATGTATTGAGGACGGGAGCCCCTCGCTCGGAGGCTGGCACCTAACGCGATCCCCGCGTGTCGGAGTGGGAGTCTTGAAGTGAAAGCTGGCAGCTGCTGCTGGTTTTGGCACTGGAGTTGTTGCTGCTGGGTTTGCTCTCTGGCTCTCGGGTCTGCAACTCAAAGAGGATCTTCAGAAAAATTGGAGACAGTTCAGAGGAGGTCTAGGGAGGCCTCTCAAGTTTGGAGGACATGTCTTACTGGGAGATGCAGGGAGCTCGGTGTGGTTTGCAGAGTGACTTGGTCTGTCTGTAGGTGCGGGGTCACAGCTGCAGTAACAAGACGCTCT